CTACAAATAACTTTAACACTATCGCTGATTTCCAGTTTTATAAATCGCTAAACGCTAAGACTTCTCCAGCCTTCAGTGCCTCCTCTAGACGTTTCCTGGTAATGGCTATACCTCTACTCCAGCTCAAGTCCTCTCTTCACATCCTCCCCTACAGAACTGACTATTAAGTGACTAAGTCAAAGCCAAAGTCAGAGTTGCTTTACGACTGCTAGTTTACCGTCAATCAATTTGTCTTGCGTCAAGCCCCTTGAGACCCACGACAAGGAATTCTTCCCTCAACTGAACCCTTGCTGTAAGAGTCCTTATGTAACATCTTTTCTGCCGAGAAGATGGGATTGTCTCATAAGATTATACTTGGTCTTTCGTCAATCGTACATTTCGCAGCTCGGTAGCGCAGTAGACAGCGCCTAAGTCTCATAATTCAAGCGACTAAGTCAAAGTCACATTGCGACTGACGGTCGCTCAGTCAGTCAGTCTTGGTGTCGAGCCCCATGACCAGATATTTATTACTGTTTGACAGTTACGGTCTTGTTTTTGTGGGGCGCCCTCTGACGAGAGGACGGGTCTGTCTTCTGTCAGAGTCATTGTCTGCAGTAATAAGTCATTTGTCATAATGTAATGGATATTTACATTTTACATGTTAAACATGTTAATAAATGTATATGGAATATATACAGGGCCTCTGTGAGTCCAGGCTCAGTACAGCACATCCTATTTTAGTAGCTTCCGCTACAATGGCAGTCTAGTCACTTCAACGGTCGTATGCTTGACCGCCGCCAAGTTTAAGCCTTTTAAAGTTACTAAGTCAAAGTCACATTGCGACTGACGGTCGGTCAGTATGTCTGTCTTGATGTCGAACCCCGACTTGGGCTCATGACAAGATGTTTCTCCTTATATGAAATTTACTGTGCTGTCCATCTGGGGCGCCCTCTCTGACGAGAGGTCGGGTCTGTCATCTCGGTAAGGACCACAGAGAAAAACAGTTCTATTGTTGCGCTCGTTTTTTTGCGGGAGTTACCTAGCAACGACCGCTGTTTAGAGAGTCACCGCCTAGCAACGGGTCTATACGCCACAATACAAACATTTCCATATGTGCAAAGTTCGTGCTACTGAACGTCAGAGTTTCTGTGATGAAGCTGATCGCATCACAGGATTTGATGTCGTTTTTTTGCCGGCACTAGACTTATCGAAATATATTTAGCCGAGGTGCCCGACATTGTTTCCTTTCTTTCAAAATGAGAGTAGCGATTTCTGGTTTTTATTCTTGCGAAGAAAGTACGGCGAGACAGTCTGCTTCCACAACTGAAGCAGCTAAAGAATTAAAGCAATTGACAGAAAATCTGAGTAACAAAATCGGTGAAACACGAGTCTCTCAGAAGACAAAATTAGTGACAGTTTTCTCAAACGAATCCTTCAGGTTTGCGAATGATGATTTCGCATGACATGAACCGATTAGTTCGGTAAGGAGTACTTGCGTTGAAACTTTCAGAGCCGAAGAGATCGGCTCGAGGTTAATCAGTTAGTACAGTATTTCTGCCAGTAGGTTCATCAAGTGTTATATACTGATGTTTGGAGGAAAGAACAAGCTTCATCGCTATCTGTAAATGCGGTCGTTTGAGGGTAATTTACGGAAATATTGTCGGTTTTTGTTCGCAAAAACATTTACACACAGGCAACCTTGGTTTTTCTTTCAGGTAGTGCTACGGCGGGGATCGGCAGTCAAAGGAAAAAATTCATTTTGTGGTACATCGGTATTTGAATGGATGAAACTTTATATTTGCCCTGAATGGAACACTACTGAAAAGTCAAACGATTCTGTTCGCAAGAGAGTTGAGTGTGCGTAAGTGCTGACGCTGTGTTTGATTAATTTTGTACTGCAAGGACGAACGCGGAAGTGAACTAACAGTACCGAGCAGAATACCGAATACCGTTGGCTTGATATAGTCAACCGTTTTTACTACGTTCTTATTCCAACCAACACATTTAATGCTTTTTTTTTTTACTGCATGTGGGGTGGGACGAAGGCTGAAAACCCACTTAGCGACAAGCCGCGCGAGGTTTGTCGAGTGTTGTCGCTCGTGGCCCTTATTTGTATTGCTTTTATGAGCCGCGCGCGGTTAAGTTTTGGAACGCGGCACACAGGCGGCAGAGCTGTCGCACGCCTATTAAGTATAACTAACGGACGCGCGCGACAAAGAGCGGCTAGCCGCTCGCGACCAGTCGCGTCAGTGGGTTTTCAGCCTAAGTCCCTTGTACTGCGGCCACGTCTGGCCTATTGTACCAGCCCCAGATGATAGGCGAAGGTGATTGTGGAGCAATTGGTGGAATGAAGATTGGCAGGGGAAACCGAAGTACTCGGAGAAAACCTGCTCCAGTGCCACTTTGTCGACCACAAATCCCACCTGACCAGACCGGGAATCGAACCCGGCCCGCCGCGGTGGGAAGCCAGCGACTAACCGCTTGAGCTATGGCGAGGCCCATTTAATGCTTACTGTGAATATACTGTTAGTTCACCAGGTATAAGTGTTCCAGTGGAACGAATGTTTTCACAAATTAACGGTGGCGTAGTTGGTTGAGGCACCAGGCTACAACCTGGAAGGTCGCGGGTTCTCTTCCCGGTGAGTTTACTGGATTTTTAAATTGACTTAATACTTCCAGCCGCACTATGCTCTCAGCCTCTAACAGAAATGAGTACCAGGAATCTTCCTGCGGGGTAAAGGGCGGCTGGCGCGTAAGGCTGATAACCATACCGCCATCTGTGAGCCAGTTGTCTAGGAAAAATGTGGGAGCCTTGACGTCTCGCAACCCTATTCCTCTACCTTTTTACATTTTTGTTTTGTCCTCACAGAACTTCATGAAGTTACCATGACCCCTTACTTGTTCAAATTGTAAGACTGCAATATTTTATTTTAAAGCAGAAGCCTAATTATTATTGTTCTTGTAGTTGCTACTGTTGGTGAATAGAACACAGATGACATTAATTGAACTGAACCCTATTATATTGCTATATACTGACGAATGCGTGAAGTCCGGATGCGAGAGCCCAATTACAATTGTATACTAATCCTTGCAGGACTCCCAGAAGAATGTGTCATGTCATCCCACACGGGACAAACTTCGGTCAACGAAACGTTCAGTTAGGTCATAATCGCACTACTACCAACAGGATCATTTATGATTTCATGTATAGCATCTAGCAAGTTAATAGCGAGATATAAACAGAATACATAAAAAACTGAGTAATTCATAAAAATTTAAATTTATTAATCTATAGTTTATGTAGGCTATTTACTATTCTCAGTTGTGGTACTACGGAGTATAAACCCATTGCTAGACAACGACCGCGAAACAAACGACGAGACAACAGCCGTTGCTAGGTAGCAGCCAACGCGCCATTGGACTGGCTGGAAAGCGGGTTTTCTGCGGGGTTCGCACCGATGGCTGCGCAATGAATACAACAATGAGGAGTTATGTTTTCTGCGCGGTCCGTGCTGATGGGTTATCAGTGGGAAACAGTTTAGAACTTAGTGGAGTTTTGACTTTGACTTTGTAGTCAGTGATTACACCGTGTGGAGGCTGGGTCGAATACCTCCACCGTGATCCTGCGAGTCGTAGGAGGCGACGAAAAGGGAAGTCTCAATTCTGAGACTGCGCTGGCAAGGGGCAACAGCATACACAGAAGACGGACCCGTCCTCTCGTCAGAGAAGGCGCCCCACAGAAACAAGACCGTAACTGTCAAACGGTAATAATTGATATCTGGTCATGAGCCCCAAATAGGGCTCGACACCAAGACTTACTGACTGACTGACCGTCAGTCGCAATGTGACTTTGACTTTGAACTTAGTGTGTTGTATTGTGGGATGTTCGCCAGACTGTAAGGACGTAAGCAGAGAACATTGTCAGGATCCGTTACCAGCAAACGACTAATGAAGACAAAGAAGACTTTATGTGTGCTGCAGTTACAGTGATGTGAAGAGTGTGTAGATCAGGGAGGCTGTTATATATAGTTGCTTGTAGTTACGAGTTGAATATACAAGTGTTCAATAAATCGAGTCAGCAATCCACACCCCCTCTTTAGTCGCTTATACACGTGACAATACCTATAAATGGGTATAAAGGGTAAAGGAGGGCCCCTTGTTCAGATATGGGGCTAACGTGTATCTTACCACTTCAAGAAGAGTAATCGAAATTGGAGATATTCTATCATAAGTGATCATTATTAACGTAATTTTGGTTCCTGTATCTAATTGACAGCTGTGGAACCAACTTCTGAAGCATTGAAGAGACATTCTTCCACACTTCGTAACGGTTTCCGGCGCGGCGTCACTGCGAAACACACGCATCCCGTGCCCAAGCAATATGCACGTTACCTGTTCGCGATAAAATCGCACCAATTAATTTCAATCATAATTAGTAACCGGAGGACGTTGACTCACACGGTGAGCATTGTGTGTATTCGGGTGGTACTCGATTCGAATCCGAGACGAGGCACCAACAATCCTGACTGAAGTTTTGCGTGGGTACCGAGATGGATCCTTAAATTAGATCACGACCACTTCCCCCCACAACCTTTCAATGCCTTTATTTACTAATCGCCAAGAGAATGTGTGCTGCGGATATCGCTGTGATACAAACAGCAGCCTTGAGTGAACGCCTCAAGGAAGCAACACTTGTTAAGTTTGTCATAAACAGCGTCAGTATGAAGGGCGACATGAATTCATTGAAATGTTTCAGTGACGGCGTGTTCTGATAAATACGGATGTCACACAGCAGCAGTCTCTAGTTCGCCTTTCCAGAAACAACTCTGTCTTATCACGTTGGAATATGGACAGTGTTTTTTTTTTTCCTTTTCTTAAGAATGTCCTGCCATCATCGAGAGGAAGCAAGGTCGTAGGTTGGAGGTCACACGTCTGCACGAGATGTCCATGTACATGCCACGTGAATTCATCTTATCTGCAAGCACAACACAGACTGCGTTATGTGCCAGTCACCGGTGCTGTCTCGTTTAGTGAGCGGGAATCCGGGTGCTGCATGGCACCAGAAGTGAGACGCGTTCCTAGGAGGTTTCATGTTGAAGACTCAGCTGTTCCTACATTCAATGATGATGTAGTTCGTGGAGACTCTGAACATCGGATCGGAGCAGTGATAATTACTTGCTGAATGGGTGTTGCGTGGCACACGCGCGCAATGCGTGTGTCTGCCGCTCATGCACGCATGCACACGCACACAACTTACACGCAGTATGAAACTACGCACAAGGCATAGTTGTAATGTAATCAAGGTTCCGAAGGATTATTAATGAATGATTAAAACAGTCTCTTGTGGTTTCGGTTTACAGTTGCGTGAGAATATGGTGACGGACGCGCTGACAGTAGACCTCCTTCTGCCATCAGCTTTTGTCATTTCGTGAAGAGGATTTTGCTTAAAGCAACTTCTGGAATGCCCCTCTTTAATCTGTCAGCAGTGGTAACAGCTTTGCCATGAGTGCGGCCATTCCCCGGTTTCCTAATAAAAATATTTTTGATCCGAAGGTGAAGAAGAATTGTTACGAAGACAAAGAGAGTGGCGGTTAGTGAAAATTTGAACTCGCTTCATTGTCCATGTTTTAAAATTCTACCCCCAAGATTTGTATCTGTATATATAGTAATCCCTCGCCAAACGCAGGGTGACGTTACTGAAAAACACTGATTTGTATGGTAAAACAGCCGCTGGGTTGATGGAAGCCCTGTAGGAAATTTGGGGTTAGGGAAAACGTGGTCACTGACGGCTGTGTAGTGCTGAAACTGAATGCTAACGGTGCTAAGCAGAGGGACAATTTGTTTGCTCGATTTGCATGAACTATAGGGCGTGTAATGTTTATCTGTTAGTTTACTGTCCGCGTGTTTAAACTTGAGACGGAACATGAATTTTCTCGAAACTTTATGCTAAGTACAAAGACAAAACAACTCCTTCCAGTGTGACTATTGAAGTTTTAACTACTTGAAAACTTAATACCCTTACATGTTTCGGTCCCTATAGACCATCATCAGAGGGACATCTATACTTTTTGGAAACTACTATCACAATGGATGTTTTGAGTGTTAAAATACATATGCATACAATGTTTGTAACGCACAATATATACAAAATCCAACTTTTCCATAACTACAGCAGATTTTTTGGTATATTAAAGTTTTCAAAACTTCGTTATTTAAGTTAAAACTTATAAACCAAGTAGGATCGTGTCCCTTCTCCTATTGTCTTTCTTGACGGGGCTGAACTTGTGCCGCGTGTCTCTCTTGAGAAGGAGATTCTTGGTTTCATCCTGTGTTTGTTCGTGGCGTGCTGTGTTTTCTTTGTATTGTGATAGTAGTTTCCAAAAAGTATCGATGTCCCTCTGATGATGGTCTATAGGGACCGAAACATGTAAGGGTGTTAAGTTTACAAGTAGTAAAAACTTCAATAGTCACACTGGACGGAGTTGTTTTGTCTTTGTAATTGTTAGTGTAACGGACCAGAATGAAAGAACTCAAATTTATGCTAGTTAATTTGCAAACAATGAGTCATTTCAGTTTTCATTTAAATCGGCCATATTTAAGGATGGCCTTGCTGTTCATGTGTTTCAGCTCTTATCTCGCTAAATGTTCATCACAGAGGAAATTGTTTCAAACGAAAGTTTCAGAAATGAAACACATTTTATATCAGTAAGTCTTTCACTTTTTGAAATAATTAAACAGAAGGGATGTTATAAGTATATTGTCACGTGCCGTGGGTACGCATGACGAAATAGCGGGTTCTAGTTCAGACGATTGAATTTATTGGCACTTCGGTTACACACACTCTCTCTTAATTACAATTTCTACAGCGCTGCTTTACACAATTTACAGTTCCCGTTACACACGCACTGGGATTCTCCGTCTTCACTTGTCGTCTCCTCAACACAGGAACTGCAGAAGTCTCACTAATATCGATGTACTACTGCAAATGTAACGTCACACACTAAGTCTTCTGTTCTTCTGGCCACACTGCTGTTCCCTTGGAACTTCGGAACTCAAGTCAAGTCCGCCTGGTACTCATTCTTCCATCTTACGAGTGCCCGCAAACGACCTTTGCTGCCCACACAAACTTTCGGGGCGGACCTACAGAAAACTATACATTGTTGTGTAATATCACTGCCTACGCGGAAGTGTGTTTATCGAGCCTTTGCATAGAAACTGGTTGCATAACCCCGTTGTTCTATTGTTGCGTGCGTATAATGCAGAGTGTTTATCGAGCCGTTGCGTGGCAATGCTTTGACACGTCACAATATTGTAGAACTTTCGTATTCGGCAATCACCCATGGCCTCAAGACATTGCTGTTAAAGTCAGATTCGTTTTGATCTTTTAATGGAATGCTTTATTACATTATGACTTTAACAGTGTCTGAGACGTACATGTACATGACCATCCGTGCACGGGGTGCAGAGAGTGCCTGTGGAAACTCTTTATGTATTCCGTTAAGGATTACACTTCTCCAGTCTTATTTACTTGATTAGTACAACTGGAAACCTCTCAACTGAAGCTCTCATAGCAACGTATTTATTGTCGCGTCGAAGTGTGTATTCGTATTTACGAACAGGAAAGTCTCTGAGTATGGAACGAGTAGTGTTCACAAAGCAATTGCAAATAAAATAAAGTAACACAAAATGAAAAGAATTAATTCAAGTATAAACGCCAAAATATTGCGTAGTTGTGATTTCTTTCACGCAGCATCGCAGAAGATACGATAGGTACGAGTGCTGCTAGCAGCTGCGGAACGGACCGCCATGCATTGGTGAGAAGCGAAATCAGATCTTTGTTGATGGCGCATATATTCAGAAATGGAANGACTGGTGAGAGAGAGAGGGATATATGGTTCGACCTTTAGCGAAATCAGATCTTTGTTGATGGCGCATATATTCAGAAATGGAAGGGTTATCGGTGGAAACTGCAGCTGGAGATGAGAACTGTTTTGTTTTAGAAAGTTTCGCCCGTGTCTTGTATTTGCAATCGGCCTGAATAACGTGCACTGCAACTGAACACAGGCGGAAATTGCAAAATATACATGGGAAGAAAATTGTGGGTATGTCAAAATAAGAGTGAACTGTATGAAGTGTCTCTCAGTGTTTATGTTACATCTGACTCCGCCAACGAGCATCACACAGATAGTCGTCTGGGAGACAGCCGCAAATTCTTGGCCTGCCGAGTAGGGCACCCGCTACTTGTGTCCCCCTGCTGTCGCGCATTTCAGTTTTTGCCCAATAGGCCCCCAATAAATTTGTGAACAGTTACTACATAGCGAGCTTGTGCCTTGCGTGCTTGTCGGCCACGATCCAGAGATGCTGAGCTTCTGCTATAGTATCAGTCAGTCAGTCAGTTGAATCACTTGCTTTGCCTCAACTGCATCCGAGCGTTGCACGCTGACATGATACCCACGAGAATTCAGTGATTCCGGCACAAATTTTGGAACGTTACGGTTCCAAATAGGAAGAAAAACCGTGTCTTCAATTTTTAATGGATTTAGGTGGACCGCTACTGGATATATAGTACATACAAAGGACAGAATCAGAACACCGAACGCTCACTGAAGAGGAAATCGGTACTAAGTTTCAACATTCCCTCAAAAATCCTTTAGGCGCCTTGCAGATGAGACCGGGAATCAAGTTTTAGTGAAAAGGAGCAAGAGTGCGCGCAGCGGGCTGCACTGCTGCCATCTTCTGTGTTCTGAGCGATATTTGTGACGGTCCGGTTATGCACGGAAACAGTTGAAGCCTGAAGCATGTCTTCTGCGGGACTGACCGAGCCATTTTCGTAGTTGGTTGAGGCACTATGCTACAAGCCGGGAAGGTCGCGGGTTCAAGTCCCGATGAGGTCATTAGATTTTTTTCAATTGATCTAATCCTTCCAGCCGCACTATGGCCGTGGGGTCGACTCAGCCTCTAACAGAAATGAATACCAGGAATATTCTTTGGCGTAAAGGGCGGCCGGCGTGTAAGGCTGACATCCTTGCCGCCATCTATGAGCCAATTGTCTAGAAGATGTGGGACCCTCAACATCTCACAACCCTATGGGCCTTCATGGCCTGTTACAGGGATACCTTTACTTACTTTACTCAGGGAACTTGCAGCAGTGTAATGACCTTTGGTTTTTGTGTCGCGTGTGATAGGGTGGTATTTCACACGCGCACTCAGGATGTTAGGAGTGTGTCACCACGCCTAAAAACGTGGAGGATAGTGTGTATGTGCTGCCATCAGATAACAGGACTAGGTTATCGCCAGGTACGATGTTAATGTACTGCTTCAATCAGGTAGCTTGTGCTGGTCAGCAGTGATGTTGTCCAACTCTGCCTGTTGAAGTCGTGTAGCTGTTGTTGAACGGAAGGTTTGGAAGCATGCAGGTGAGCGAGAACCCTCGAGATCTTCGATGCGTGAAATCAAGTAGACAATGCGAACTTGGATGGTGAAACCAAACACTTTACAAGATTAAGAATACAGATCGGGAATCAAACCCCTGACTTCACGAGAGCGGTACACTCTCCGGCGTAACTTCATTACGAGAATGCTAAGTAACTGTTTACATTAGGGTTCTACTGCAGTTTTATGCTATGATCGAGGAGCATCTTACAGTGTTTCATGCCCTTTTAACTTAATAGAACACCATTAAACTTCATATAACTTAATATATAGTTATATCATTTACCAGTTTAGTGCAACCTCATTACAGCAGTTTTAGGCAATGCCAACACAACGCTCCTTCCAGCAGGTGTAGCCTAATGTCTAGGACCTATAGTGAGGCAAGCTGTGAGTCGAAGAAATGTAGCCACGACGCTCTGTTGCCTGCTGTAGAAATGAGAGATTAGGTAGTTCTGATGAATTCCGCAAGCTTTAGCGTACACATTTCGCTTACATAATACTCTACACAACTCTTCTAGCCTACATTATTAACAAGATTTGATATGGCAGTATAAATTAGGCGCCATTTCAAGATATTAGGGCTCAGGTATATTTGATGAGTTTTTACAGGCAGCCTTTGTTCTAAAGAACAGTATAGTTTAGTGCATGTTATTGTTCTATGAAGATTAGGAAGTTTGGAGGTACTGAGGTTGGTTTTTTTCTTTATAATATTTGTTTCTTGTCTCCGTTGCAAATACAACAGGATTGTGGCAGCAATAAATCAACAAATAAGAGAGATATGACGAATAAAATTAAAATAAAAATAAATTTAAATAATATAATTAAACTTCCAAGGTAAACATAATGTGTGGGAAATATTTCTGCGTGTTCCGCTCAACACAGTACATGATATCGTGAAATGAAGTAAAATGTAGACTACCATCTAAGTACAGGGAGGTTGTAACCTTAGTTGACCGGTTCATGGCTCTGCGCTTCACAGCGACCGGTGCGCTGCTTGCTGCGAGGTGCATACGGATTTTGCAGAGGAATCAGCATGCCTGATTGCCGATGACGTTTGGAATTAAGGTGAGTTATTAATTTTGCGGACCGCTTGACGGTATTATGTTTCACAGCGAGCAGTGCGGTTCATGCGTGGGAATTTGTTTAAGATTTATTTGC